TTAAACATAAAGAAGTGAGACTTGATATAGGTTATCTTGCTCCTATTAATGTGGACACAATAACGTATTTCGGATGTTTCTGGATATGCAAACAGCTCTGTGCTGTCATAATAATCAGTTGGAGCGAGAACAAACCCGGACGGTCAAAGTCCCCCCGTCAATTTCATGAATTGGTGTCGCCGATGACGGCAGTATAAGGCGGCTCAGAATGTGGCGAGCGAGCGCAGTCTGGCCAACAGTGGAATTTGCCTTCGAGTGCAGGCACCGGGTCTTCTGTCAATAAGTACGGCACATGGTTCGGGGGATGTGTGCGTGAGTCCACCAAACCATGCCTATGTACACGCCTATAGGCGACGTGAATAAAACTGACGAGAAACTTAATCGAGGCGGATAATTTTGTTCACCTGAAAAATTTGTGGTGAATGAAGGCCTCCGTAATTTACAAGTACTCTGCTCATGTTCAACTGCCTATCTTGTTTGTGTTTTACCGGAAACGTTTACATATACATGTACATAGTGTGATCTGAGACTTGACTAAGTCGTCGCTTTCGCATTATTGATACTGCACTGTGATGGAGCCTCTCTACAAGTCCCTCGACGCCTGTGCCGTTTTAGCTTTCAAGAACTGAGAGTGACACAGGCCGGAACTGGCAATAACTGATGACAACAGCCACGGGGTCTGAAACAATATATTGGGGAACATACCTGTGACTCTCCTGTTGATTTCTATGCCTTGGCATATCCTTTACAGTTTTTGTTGAAAACAGGTACATAAAAGCGCCTTGACAAATCCATTCCCAGGGGGTCAGCGGAGATGTAATGTTTAATGACAGGAACATGCAATTACGTGGCCCTGTTCTTTCAAAGCGCGAGCAGTTCCCCCGACAGCTGAGGCAGGGGAGGCCATCACAGCCCGCAGTTACTCATCGCTCTGCCGCGTGTCTGTCATCACTCACCTGCAGCCTACCTGAGGCTGGCGATATGACGCCGTGACGATTGTTGTCTTAAGAATGATGGCTTCGTCACCTTTGGGGCCGATGTCTGTCTAGACAAATGTGAATAATGGGGCATCGGGGGACAATAGCCATGATGACTGTGCCTAAATGACCGTTTGCCTCACGGATTTGGGAGCAACTTTAAAATCTGACCGACGGATTTGCTGGAGAGGACTAATGTCAACGTCTCCTTCTCTCTGCTAAGTTGGAATAAGTTGGTATAGCTCCTCAAAGCACGAAAGGTTTACTAAAACTCTGCCTTTATTTTAGAACACTTTGAAGAAATACCACTCTCATCATTTTGTTAAAATTGAAATTACATCCCAAGCGCTCAGTACTCTTAATTTGGCTTGAAAAATAAGCATCCGTTTTAACTTTTGAACGAAAGGAAAGTAACAAACATACAACCTTATTACAAGTGGAGAGAACATATTGACGAGCAACCAATGAGAATATTTACGTGGCAAATCCCGCTCCATTATTTTTCGCATTTTGGATTAAAAACAAGCTAGCCCTGAAATTTTCCAGGTACGCCTTGGCTCCCCTTTCAAATAAATATCATCTGAATCGAGAGATTTGCTATACTGCCATCTGATTCCCTCCTGACACGACAACTTCCTAAGTTTGCTTGACAATCAGCCGCCCAACACCATTTGTCCAACTCCCACACCGCCATGGCCCAGATTTTCCCACCTTCCCCCGCCCTAGAATTGTAGGCCGAGCTCCAATTCCCCGAGGGAGGATAAAAGGGATGTTTCAAATCCTCATTTCCATCCCGGGATTAAATCCTACTGGGGTGTATGACCAAATACCGTTTATACAGACCATAAAGGTCTCAGTCCCCCAGAAGAATGATCTTTCACTCGTAATCTTAGAGTGCATGGTCAACTCGTCAACGAGCATGCTTGCATGTCCGGGACTTAAAGAAGATGACCTGTTAAGACTAATCGAAGAATCCGCGGACGTGTTATCTCTCAGCACTGGTTCCCCAAGCGTTCCTTCCTGTTCAACACGGTGCACTCACATCACATATAGTCTAGGGCGTTTTGTCAAAGAGTCTCTCCATATTTGGAGATATTGACGGCTGTTGTATGCCACATATATATTTTTCAGCCGACTTGATTTTGTTCGGTTGCGATCAATCCGAAAATAGTCTTCTTTTGGAAATACAAAATGGCATATGATTTTGGGGGGTCCTTTTACGGATATCAATCGCTTCACATTTTCTGTTCAATATTATTTATTTCACTCCGAGGTTCAACCTCCAATCTGTTTATTTTCGCCTGTGTGGCCTGACGTTAAGCAGATTTTCTTTTGTTTGCGTTTCAAGCCTACCGACATTAAAACTGAATCAAACCATTCAGGCGACAGGAATACTTGAAACAGTCACCGTTTTTTCCAAATATAATTGCCTCTTTCGGTACCAGACTGGCAAATGTATAGGCACTAGTGGGGGTGTTGCAGCCTTCCCTCCTGCGCTGTTGACTCATATCAATGTTTGCGCAATTGCATGTGGAAATCCTGCATGGTAGAAATGCCAAGAAGCGCTAAATCAAATACATTCATCAGGATATTCGAACGGAACCCACTGAGTTTAGCTAATGGGGATTGCATTTCTCCACATCGTGAACGCCCTGTCACTTAAACTCTCTGCCTTGTTCGGGCCATTTTTTATTGAACATGAAATAAAGACAACATTATCCATTTCGTTCATGCTTCGCCTTCCATAAGACTTGAAGTGATGCAGATTTTAACTCCACCTAACGACGGTATGAATTCGTTTTTTCCCCTACTCATGCGAGCACGCTGAAAAGAAGGGGCATCTGTCTGTTTGTTCAATTGTTGGTGTTGTTTAGTTTGTTGGTATCAAACAAGCCCTTTGGATAGTAGACTGACAGAGCGCCAAGGAGCCATCTCTGCTCAACATCACTGAGTTTCATCAGTACTGAGTGCTCGTTGGCGACAGGCCAAGATTTTTTCTTCTTGTGGCTGACATCATGACTCACTTCATCAATCAAAGCAAAGCCATTACTTTTTTGTTACTGGCATCACAAAGTTTTGGGCGTATACCTGTAACACCGAAAGTAATTTAACAAAACGGTGCCCAAACTTGTTACCTGCATTTTTTCATAGCGTGTATTTTGACTTGTCGCCTACCTCAATGCGCTTGCATTTAACACCGACGCGTCTCACCATTGAATTCAATATATATTAAGTCAAAAAACCCAATTATTGGCATATTTTGATATGAACACCGGCGTCAGTCTTGCCCGTCCATCACCAGCAGGTTTGTGTAATGCTGATCTCAGCTTGATGTGTACTCAATCAATTTATTGAAAAAATGGAAAGGTCATCCTAATCGCAAGGTCAGTTTCGGAACGATGTCCACTCTCAATGGGTGAACTCAAAGCCAGGCCGGTGACGTCTGGGCCTACCTTTGAAGTACGCGACGCAAGCGTGTCCACGAAATGGTTTGATCAGGACCGCATGTGATGCTTGAAATTATATAGGCAGGGGCTAGCCGAGCCTCCCAGGTGGGCCACGAACCCACAGGGTCCTTGGGTCAAACCCGTCCGAAGCCCCTGTTAAGTCCGACCGTTGCGGCGATAATTGGTAGGAGCGTAACGCCTGCCATGCCTGGTTTGCGATCGGTCAGTTTGATTTTTGTGTCCGCTGTAAAGCGCGCATTTCTGCAACAGTACAATTTTCCGTTTCAAATAATACCTTAATACCGCAGGACTTTGACTTGACCTTGTCTTCTCATTTCAACAAATTCCCTTCTGTTCTCGTTGCAGAGACACTGGATTTGGCGGCAATTGCCATAGGAATTTGGTATAACGTCAGTACCCAAATGGGAAATTGTGTGGCCAAGTTTTGCAACATTTGCATGCCTTGGGTTGACCATTAGCATTTTGAAATTAGTGTTGAATTAAGATTCCGCCAAAGGTCACAAGGAAATTGGCTAGCCTTTCCTGAAGTGGGCCATGCTTTGCAACTCTCTACAGCCAGTAACCCCACGTCGCCTTGGCAACTTAACACGGGATGACTCAAATATTGCGCTTTTTCTTTTGTTTAACAGTTTCAGCGTGTATTTCCTAGAAATTGTTTTTGAACAGTCTATCAAATTATGATAGGACCAAGTCATAGAATATTCCTCCAGGGCTTCTTGTCTGCTCTGAACTATTGTGATTGTGTTTTATATCAAGCGCGCTCTCTGCGGACAGTGTGTCAAGCAGTTCTCCGGTACCGTAAGCCCCCTTGCTTATTGGCTGAAGTTAAGCAGGATGCGGCCTACTTTTTTTTCCCAGACGGTGATTGTCATGCTGGAACTCAAATAAGGAGGATTCGCAATGCTTCAAATAGACGATTGATCGAAATCGGTCAAAACACAAGGTCCTCCATCAATAGTTCAATTGAAATTTCCCGCTTGCACCATCAAAACTCCAGCTTTGAATCTGGGCTCTATTTCTCAGTGACCGTAGTGGCACCCCCGTGACGAGTGATGCCCGTGCCTTCATTACGTGGTCTTCAGGTAGAATTACCCGGTGGTGCTTCCAAATTGATGCGTCTAAATCATAAATGAGTGTTGTTGAGATTTCTATCCATCACTGATCAACACCAGCAGACCGGTCACAGACAATTTTGTATTGGATGTTTAAAGATCAATCCCCAGGAAAAACGCACTATTACTCGTTAACAGTCAAGAGTTCTCCAATTTTAAAATGGTTTTGCACATTTGGGAGTTAGGGTTCAGCATGAAATGGTCACTCAGTCTGCAGGATCTCATTTCTTTGACGAAGGTGTAGCGTCGTCTCTTGAACGTTACTTACGTTACGTTTACTCCTAATGACTGCAACCGCGACAAATTAACAACGTCGTCTCTTGACCGTTACTTACGTTACGTTTACTCCTAATGACTGCAACCGCGACAAATTAACAACTTTTGAAACAAGAATGATTCTCTCGAGATGCACCGTCACTCTTCCTCTCTTTTCCCCCTTACAGCTATCTGTGAGAGGCCGTGTGTGCATGGAACCTGTATCGGCAACAACCAGTGCCAGTGCGAGCCGGGGTACCGGGGTCGAACATGTGCTAAAGGTAAGCCTAGGATCCAGATGAACGTGTTGAATGATGGTAACTAACACTATCACTGTACGCATTATGGCTTAAAAACCTATTATCTCCTAGCCCCTGTACTGTCCAAGTCGGTACCCTAGTTCCTTAGTCGTAATTAGGCTATCAGTCTACGTATCATTTCTAGAGTACCAGGAAGTCTTCTGAAACGCTCTGATTGCATGGGAGAGGCTAATGGGCACTTACAATCACTAAATTTACTGTAATAGGGAATCTAATTTGCTATGAGGGACAGACCTGGCATGGATTAATGGATTTGGTATAAATTAGCACCACAAGTGCTCCCGGCACAGTGGATGTTTCTGCATCAGTGATTTTGTCGAGAGAATTTGCGGGTAAACTGCGGCTGAACTACGGTGGCAAGCTGATGGCAAAGTGAAGTACAGAACGCGCTTGATTGGAATCTCACGCGGCACTGTCTATTAAACAGGTGCCAAGACATCTAAATACACCCATGGAGGAAGACACCTGACTGAGGTACAAGGAAGCCAGTGGTGGACAGGCACCCGAGCTGTTGCAGCTGCTGTCATATTACATCACACAAGCGGAATATCTTGATTATCGAATTAGAGTCCATGGGCCAAGTGCAGATATCAAATCCGTCTGCCCTGATAACATTGAATTATCTGCACTAAGTTTACCAGTGAACATTATCGAGCCCCGCGCAAATGTCCTAGGAGCATAAAAGTGCTGAGGCGTCAATGAATGAAGCCGTGATATGGTAACTTCTTGTGTGAGGTTTTGTGTAATTCCCCTGGTTTGCGCCATTGGCTCGAAGCCGTTTAGATGTTGCTTACCACACCCAACTCATTGTGAACTGCTGATAGCACCGCTTACGTGAGAAGTCCGAAAGATTCCTCTTTGTTTTCAAATGATATACAGCTGCATACGGGTATAAGAAGGCCTGGGTAACCTACAAGCCTACTGGGGTACCTTGACACCCCCCCCCAAAGAAAAAGCGAGAACGGGGGTACAAACGTCATTTGAATGATCAAATTCATCTTTCTATATACAGAGTTCCTCAACAACCTTTACTGCTGTTCGTATGTCAATATTGTTGATGACGAAGGGTGGTCCGAGAATCTCCACACCAACTCTGAATTCAGCCAGAACACGCAGCAAGCAGCATCATCTCTTGCTCGTTGAAATAAAATGAATGTGAAATTTGTATTGGCGTAATAATGTAGCCAGGTGTTTAGTGTAAGCGCCTCCCCACAAAACCTTTTAAAATCTTTCTATGCCATCGTCTGAGTAATTTATGAAGTGGTCTTTGAGTAACTGGTCGAGTAAGTTTTCTGACATCAGGCATCGAGTATCGGGGTAGTCAATTTCCATGCGCACCCGAGTCTCAGGTCTTAAGGGGGTCATAACGCGAATACATCGAAAGAGATGTCATTGATGTTTATAGGAAAGTTTGCCTTTGGGGTCAGTCTGTACAGTCAGGCGGGTAGTATGCTAGTAACTCAACAAGGATGAAAGGTTGGCTGTGGACGGACAGAAATCATAATCCGAACATCCTAATGGGAAGGAAAGCTCAATCAGATGTCAAATAGAAACGAGCTTATCTGAAATTGCTCCACCTAATGCCAAAACGAAGAAAGGCCAAAAATAAAACCCAGCGTTTGACTTTTTTGTGATAGCCTTAATGTTCGTGAAGGCAGGGCAACTGTTTGAGCAGGTGTTCAAGATTTTGGCTCTCACATTGAAAATATTGTTGGTTGGTGAAGGAATTACAATTACAATGTACATTATTTTCAAGTTGTGAATCCTGTTAATTGTAACGGTTCAATATTTGCTCCTTCACCGTAACGTTGCAATACAGGAGATCATTACTTTTTTACAATGTACGAATGAATAACCTAGTCGACAATCTCTTGTACACCGAAGACAGCGAAGGACGGGATGTAAAGGGTGAATAACCTTTGCTTATTAACGGTTTCACTTCATACGCAAGCCGTTGAACGAACAGAATAATGAGGGAGGGGAAAGTTGCATTACTTTTCAGACGTTCAGACCGGTACATACATGTACATGTACAAAAAGTACACCAGTTCTCCCTTTAGTTGGCGCTCACTTGATTTAGTTCGTTAAGTTTGCGTGCAAAGTGATCTTGCCCGTTTTGAGTTGAATGGTTTCAACATCCCCATCTGTTTCACATTACGCGACTCGTAGCGTTGGACATACCTGCAATTTTCGATAAAGATCGTTGTTGGAACAAACGGACGCGGGTCGGGTGTCTCTGGACTGGAGCGGAAATATTTTGATACATGTGGTTTGGAATACGTTCCCAGACGCCGTTTTTGAGCTTGGCAGAAGGTCAATTATTGTTTTGGGGGTTTTGATTGAAAAGCAGCTGACCGTGCGCGCCCAAGAGAAATGGCACGGAGTACGATTTTCACGTGCTCGCCCGTGTCTCCCCCGCAAAAAAGCAGGTGAGGACCTCATTCGGATTTGTGTGATTTGTGAGTGGGACATCTGTTCAGCTGTGTGGTTCTGAGAAAGAATCTTTATGGGATTCGGTATAACGCTGCCGAGTGTTCTGTTCTTGAAAATACAGGCTTCACTTTTTGTGACCCTCTGAGACTGGCAATGAAGCTTGTTCGGCAACCAAGAGTTGTAGAGTAACTGACGTTTCTGCTAACAAAGAGGGCTTGTTTTGAAATGAAATTGACAGTTATTTGGTACCACAGAGCTATGTTTTTATACATAGCTCTATGTTTGGTACACGCTCACCGCATAGACATACAAGTTAAAGCGCGTTTGACGCAGAACACGTTGAGTACGCGCAACAAACTTAATTTGTCCTTGTAATGGAGATCAACGTCTGGAATGTGCACAGTATGGTCTACGCGTGCAAGAACCCGATTGGAAAACTTAGAACAATATCTGTCTTTCTTTCACCATTGAGGGTGTACTTCACCTCAGGGTAGATTGGGCACAGTTTGAAAAAGCCACTATAAACGTGATGCTCAGAAAGTAGTATTGAAAACGAGGACTTTATTCGCTCTTTGCATGCTGCTGCCATAGGCATGCAAATATAGATGGTTCGGTGATTCGTGTTGCTTGGTAATTTGACGTTGACACAATTCTGACGTGATTGTACAAGCTGCCAGTTCAAGGCTGTGCATGCCTATGGTGGCAGCGTGCAAAGAGAGAATAGTTGCCCTCTTTGGCACGGATTGAAAAGGGGAAGTTCCGATTCCTCAGTTTCCTGCAGAGGGGCTAAACACTAAGAACCCGGCTTTCGCTTGTGAACTCCCGAGTTAAGCTTTCGGAGAAGGTCGGTTGAATGTTTGGATGTTAACCCCGGTTATCCCCTGTTGGGGCATTCAGTATTCTCCGTAGGATATTGACGTATAACGCAGGTGTGGCCAATCTCCGTGCTGATCTCAATCGAGTCGACTGTCTGTGCGTTCAACTGTTGTGAAAAAAAGGCTTTAACGCGATTCCAAACGTCCCTGTCGGTCAAATAATTATGGTCGGTCGTAAGTATAATACTCCGTGAATGTCGTGAAAACGTATCGTGAAGAACTCTCTTTTCCAACGTTATGCCTCAGAAAAAATCCCTGCTGGCAAGCAACGGAATTCAGTTGATTTTGGACAGGATAGTCACGAGGACCTTTGATATGAATTGGTATAGACCTATCAGTGTGATGGTTTCTTTGTCCGGCAGAGGAAAACAACGAAATAGGCCTATGTCGATATAGAATAGTGGAAACTGCCTCCAGGTATTAACCCAGACGCCTTTTCAAAACCAGACGATAAAAGTCTTCCATTTGTGTGTCGTGCAATCACATTGTACGTGACTCCAAGTATGTAAACCATTGTCTTTGGGGTTCCGTCAGTCATGCCGCCCCCTGCAGGGTTTCGCTTTTCTGGAATGATTGGCTCATCTGACCTACCGTCTCATTCTACGTTTCTGTTTTCAGGAGGAACTTCCCCCTGAACTGCATTAGAAATGTCATTCCTGTTCAGATTGGCTCTTGCATCCCGAGCGAGCTCTCTTGAACTTGTCAAACGGGATACTTTTCGACAGAGCGCAGGGACCAGACTTTCACCCATTATCTCATTACAGCATTGATCCTTTTGATTTAAAGTTGGTGTCACTGAAAAGTGCAAGCAACGTGGCTGTGCTATAGGCATGGTACGATACGATCAGCTTAGCATTACTCTCAATTTGAACTTTCAAGCATTTTCTGTGGTGAGAAATGTCAGGTGCTTCCTGATGGACTCCCAACAAACAAAAATGTGACAAGTAAAACCTAAACCCTTTATAACTTGCCAACGTAATTACCGTGTTGAGTCCCGACAATTCGCGGGAGGCAAAGCCTCCGGCAAAATGTCTTTGGTGTTAGCTTCCACAACGTTTTTTGTCCAGCATTCAAATTGGATCCAGCTTTTACCTTCATCTTTAAATGTCCACGTATACCCACTCTTTCTTGTCAAACCCTCTTCACAAGTGCATGAGTAATTCGTCATGTTTGCCTCCTACAATTCAATCGCTTTGGGCCCAGATCAAAGTGGTACATGTACATGTGTAAGATCGAATTGTATGACCGCACAGGAGAAGTTAACATTGCACCTCCAGTCAGGAAGAGAATGTTGAACTGATTCATTTCGAATGTCGCGGATCGTTATAACGGTTGCCTACAAGGTGTGACTGCGGTTGGATATTATACAAGGAGTGCTGGACGCCTTGGGAAAGTGCTGGCGATCGGTTGCATCAACTAACCACAGACTTGGGTGCTACTCCATCTAGTCGCATCCAGCTGATTTGAAAACGGCCCCTATTATCGTACCGGGGAGAAGTGGGAATGATTGATTTGTACGTGACTGATGCAGGTGTGATTGTTTTGGGGTCCCAGCCCCAGGTCAATGTAGTTCCTGGCACATTGAGAACCCTTCTGGGTTAATTGATAACCATCAGGTAGAGAAACCGACGTTCTGTAGACCACAGTCATAAA